CTACCCCCCCGCACCTGAGGACAAAATAGCACAATCAGAGGATCAGTGGATCTACTTTTGACTAGGCCTCAAAGGCCATTTTTGAAAGAGCATAAAGCCACTGCCCAGAAGAAGCCCCCGATCTGCTATTTGACAGGCTTGTCCCACATGCAGTTGGACGGGAGAGCTAGCTGTCCCATTTCACCACTTCAAAACTCATATTCAGAACAAGCCTGCCACTCAGCTGATCATAGCCTTGTTTGAGGGTGGATTTAACAAACTACAGCCTCCAGAAAGTAGTGGGTGCAACGGGAAATCCCATCTCTTCCAAGCCCACTTTCTCTTGTAGCCCATTAGATAGCCCCCATCTGTTCTGGCAGATGGTGGTTGAAGTAGGAGAGACTGCTGGTCTCCGGCTTTCCAAAACAATATGGTGCTGGAGGAGAGAGCCCAGGAACCAGACTTGAGGATGGGCATTCCCAACCAGCCTGAAGTGTGAGGTCAAGAGCTTGGCGTTGGTAACAAAATGTATGAAATTAGCCCAGGTTAAAACTGCTGCAGTTTGCTGTCAGCTTAAAGGGAAAAATACCATTTTAACACCAAAACAGCTGAGGATGACTTTAGGTGCTTCATGGGGTTATGGCAGAAAACATTGTCAGGACATGTTTGTCCTGTGCTTAGATGCTAGTGGGGACATAGTCTAGGGTCAGACTATATAGCTGTGTTTTATTATCATGTTGACAGTTTCTTTTGCCTTCAATTTTGTTTTCCTAACTTGTCCAACAGACACAATTAAGAGTTTCTTAAACTTCTGCGGTTTATAGTTTCAGCTTTGAGAAGAATTAAATCTTACTGTAAATTCAACTAGAAAGTTGAATTTAGCTTCTGATTAAGCTGTACTTTTATGTTTAACAAATTTACCAAACATGAGTTGTATTTTAATCAACATAAACACATTGCATTGTTTGTTCTTTAAAACAGCAAAATGAACTTAGAGCAGGAAAAAAAATTAATATGGCCTGTATTTATATTTTTCCCCAGATTTCTGTTTTCCAACAAAAGTAGAATTTTTAAATTTTTCATCTTTACCACTGATAATGAGGTGTTAATGCCATTGAAGAGAAAATATCTTTTATCCAATGAATTATGTAACACACAATCCTTCCATGTGCTCACACATTCCACCAGATGCATCCAGACATATAAAGCTGAAACGTATCAGGCCACGATGAAGGAGGTTGTTGAGTTATGCTTGAAATGCTTTTTAAGATTTTTCTTAGGCTTGAATTTTTTTTCTTTTCTTTTGCTGGATTGTGGCTAAATCTTGGATACAAGGCCTCTATTTTAGACCTCAGCTCTGCACTTACCCAAGACGCTCATCTGCGTAAATACTAGTTTACTTTGTGGAGGAGCTGTAAAAATTACAAGTGTACGCAGGAAGTATTACATGGCTATATAAATAATATGGCAGTACATCTGGTAGCGATAACATGACTACTATTCTTTTTGATAAGGTCTTCTATGCTGCAGGTGGGTTATAGCAAGAAAAGAGTATTTTTAACAACTGTTTGGCAATACGTTAGTGCTTATACCAGTGTGGGCTTGCTACATGAAGGTAGATGTGATTAGTTCACAGGGGTGGGTTTTTTTGCCTCTTTTTCTTTTCTAAGGTATGGAAGGATCC